GAGCCCGATGTGGGACTCGATCCCGGGACTCCAGGATCATGACCTGAGCCGAAGGCAGTCGCTTAACCAACTGAGCCACCCAGGCGCCCCATCCTTCACCCTTTTCAATGCCCCTACACCTTTCCTGTCCTCCTCCACAAAAACCTGCCCCGTAAAAGCGTGTGTTCAACTGTGACCCATCTGCTGGGCCTGGCGCCTGTGGGAGATCTACCACAGAGAGTACTTATGCCTCCCTCTCCCCTAGTTTAACGATGCATACTGGTGAAGGGCTTGGGTCCCGGAGGCGAAAACCATATGGATTCAGATCCTAGTTCTGCTACTAGCTATGTGCCCTCTCAAGCCTCATCTATAAATCGGAGATACTGTCTCATAGGGCTGTGGGGAAAACGAACAACTGATACGAAGGCAGGGAAAGTGCTCCGCATACAGATGACCACACAGTGAGTGCTAGAAAGCCCAGGGCTCCTGCTGTCCTTATCAGCTGGTGACCTCCAGCGGGTGCTCTCTGCTCTAGGACAGATGCAAGGTCTTCCATGAACCCTCTCCTCATCACCAAGATTCCCCTTTCTGAACTTCCGTTGTTCCCCGTTCCAGCACCCAGATGTGCACCTCTCTGCACTGTTACAGAAATGTCTCCCACAGATGCCTCCTACTGTTCCCCCATTTCGCGGGCTAGCTTGTCAGCTCGCTGTGTATTGGCTCCGTGACCACAGTCCCCTTCCCCTCGATGCCCGGGTTCAGATGGTTCGAATACAGTATAAACAAGCACATAGGTGTTGGATAAATAAATGTGGGAGGTGTACCCGGGTCATTTTTTCAGGTATACACATATTTGGTCTTCATGGTGGAGAGACAAGTAATGAGACGTAATGCGCGGGGCTTGGTCTCCCAGTCTCCAAGTGAGTTACTGCGCGGCCTTAGGCGGGGTGTCTATAAAATGCAGCAGTACCACCTGCTTGCCCCCCGGGGCCAGGGCAGATGCGCTGGGCTTTTAGGCAGCGGTGGTGAAGCACAACCAGCTCCTTGATGTTAAGTAAAGAAGAGCATCTGGGTTCTGATGGTAACAAATGGGTCTCATTCTCTTTTAGCAGTTCTCAGCTCCGATTGCACCAAACAAGGCCAACAAAATAGGCCTCAGCGCTTTTAGATCAGATTTCCAGAGAAATCTCCCCCCCCCCAGTAACTCATGACTGTGCCAGATTTTTCAAAAGGCTAATCTAAATTCCTTCTCACTTTAGGCTCCCTTCCCTTTGTCTTCTGCCGAATCAGATCAACAACAGCTCTGGCCACCATGATACGGTGATTATTCTTAAGTATCTTTATTTCACTGTTTTCCAGTAATTGATCCAGACTAGAGGGGACTGTTTCCGCCCTATCAGTATTCCCATCATTTTTTTTCTCTTCCTTCTCCGTGCTTCCCCCTCTTTCTCCCTCTCCTAACCCTCGGGCCTCCCAGCGGTGCCCGTGTTCGCCCGCACTGCCTGGTCCTGTGGGAGCCACCCCAGGTGAAAGACGCTCTGACGGCTGGTTTAGGCGAGGCCTACGGCACCAGCCCCATGATCGGAATTTGAAGGACCTAGGCCTGTATGGAACACTGACGCACCGTGAGCTGCATCCAGCTAGCTGAGCCTTTTTGTGAGTCAGGGACGGTCACTCTCCCTGAACTTCTGGTATAGAGTCCTTCGCCTTTATAATGCTAATTAAGGTGTGGCTAACACCAGTGCTACTTAGAATCTCAAACTGAACTCCCAAGGGAAAGGGGAGTGGGTTCATACGAGGTGGTGAAATTTTAGAGTGCAGAAAACATGTCCCTTGGGATAACAAGGCAGAGGAAAGAAGCATAAACATGGTACAGGATAGTGGCTAACAAATATGGTTTGGCAGCCCAGCCCTGTCTTCAAATGAAACCTTTGGTGGAATCCCACTCCTAACTCCGATCGGAGTGGCGCTGCTCTGTGTGGAAGGCAGGGTAAGGTGGTGGAGGCACGGGGCGAGAGCCCACACTTCTGCCTCCTCACCCCTGCTCTCCTCTCCTGACAGGGTGGTTCCCGCAGCATCCACAAGGAGCCCCCATGTTTCCATGAGTGAAGGAGCGACAGAGACAGCAAGAGGGGATGGCAAACCAACTTTAGGGCCCTATGGGACCATGTGGCCAACATACCTGCATAAAGACGGTCCCGTTGCTTTTGTCTTTTTAGTTTATCTATGTTTCTTAGCCTTGATTTTCATGGATATATATATTTTATCATAGTATATTTTTGTAATGCATCTCAAAATCTTTGCAGAATAAGTTGGTGTCTGGATATGTGCACACAGTGCTAGGAAGAGAGAAGCTGGATATCACATCCGTGACAAGACATTCATAAGGTCTGGTTTCACTTGCTATACGACTCACCACTCTGAAAGATGCTATAGTATTTTTAAAAAATTTTATTTATTTATTTGAGAGAGAGAGAGAGCAAGAGAGCACAAGCAGGGGGAGCAGCAGAGGGAGAGGGAGAAGCAGGCTCCCCACTGAGCAGGGGGCCCGATGCGGGGCTCGATCCCAGGACCCTGGGATCATGACCTGAGCCGAAGGCAGACGCTTAACCACCTGAGCCTCCCAGGCACCCTAGGTACTATGGTATTTTACTGTGCTTTATACACGATGGCTTAAAGCAAACCGAATGAAAACTAAATACACTCTAAAAGGAACTCCAAGATTCTTAAGAGCCTCAAAAGTAGAGCTTTACACTCTAAGACTACATTTTCCCCTGAACAATGAAAGGTATTCTTAATACCACTTATAATAAGATGTTAAACATGGATGGCCTAATTAGTCCCTTTACTTTTGCTTGTATATTTATTAGGAAGAGGGGCAATAATAAGATATACTTTGCTGGGCGCCTGGGTGGCTCAGATGGTTAAGCGTCTGCCTTCGGCTGGGTCATGATCCTGGCTCCGCGGGAAGCCTGCTTCTCCCTCTCCCACTCCCCCTGCTTGTGTTCCGTCTCTCGCTGTGTCTCTTTCTGTCAAATAAATAAATAAAATCTTAAAAAAAAAAAAAGAAAAATACTGTTTTGTGTAAGTTTGACTAAGGGCTATTAATTTCCTAAATTATCTACAGAAAAATGTAACATATATTTAAATGTCCATCAATTTGAAAGACGCGAGAAAAAAATTGGAAATCCAAACAATTGCAGTATATAATTTTTTTTCTGATTTTTAAAGGAATATTTATAGCTTGAAAGGGAAGAGCTGGTGAAATATATAAAAATCAGAGAGGCAATTCTTTTCGTATTTCAGGAAAATTATAGTTCTTGAAGAAGACATTGACAATTAGCTCTCAGTTGACACATACTCATTATGCTGGAATTTCTAGACTCCTCCCCTTTTTATTTCTGAGAAGAGAAACACATTTCTTTCAGAACTGGACGAATGGCTTTAATGACCTATATAATCTACAGCCCAGAAGCCAGATCCATCAGACAGCCTGCTTTCCTCTGATCAAAGCTAAGAATAACTTTCACATTTTTAAGCTGTTGGAAAAAAAAAAAATCAAAAGAAGAACATTTCTTGACAGGTGAACATTACATGAAATTCCCATTTCGGTGTCCATAAATAAAGGTTTTTGGAATGCAGTCATGCCCCTTCATTTGCATTTTGTCTGTGGCTGCCTTCCTACTAGGATGGCATTGCTGAGACTGAATGGCCCCAATGCCTAAAATATTCATACAGTCTGGCCTTGCACAGAAAAATTTGCTGACCCCTGACCTAAGAGATGGAGCCCACTGGAGGGCCCCCTCTGTGTGTCCCTGGGGCACGCGGTAGGAGACGTACCTGGTTGAACTGGCGCAGCCATTTGTCAAGACACCAGAAACAGCAGAAGCAGCATCTGAACACGCACCTGGACCATGCGCCATGCTGCCGGGATCGGGGTCAGAACCAAAGGAACAGAGTCAGAAACACAGGAAAGAAGGAAGCAGGTAGACACAGTACATTCCTAACTTGGAGATTCATGCACCTGGGGAAGCATGCGTGGGAGACGTCCTTCTATTCTGCAGGTGCTACTACTACTACGAATTATTACCATTATTATGGTGATAACTCCCTGAGGAGTGAAGTTTCTCTCCTGTGGGCTTACCTTGTGATGACTGCTGTTGCCCTCAGCAAAAAGGGAAATGGGTTATAGTCCATATTTACTAGCAAAGGTAAACTAGGCTTTCTGGTTCTAGTTAAAAAAAAAAAAAAATCTCTTTCCATCTTCCCCTAAGTGTCGTCAATGATAAAATTTGTTTTTTCAAACCAGTTTGTATTCTTGAAAAATCCACATCCCAAAACACAGTGAAACAAATAATGCATTGTAGGTACTAATTATGTGCCCATATAAAAAGAAGAATCAAGTTTAACTTTTTTTGCAAAAAAAAAAAAAAAAAACCCCATACTGAGATTTTCAGGGCTAAATTTCAAGGGACAAATCAGTCCTTTGAAATATAATTTGGACATAGGCATAGCTCAAGAATGAATAATTTAATAAAACTCTTGGAGGAGGGGTGATTGGATGCGTCCTACGGACTGCCCAGAGGTTAAAAAAAAAAAAAATCCCTGTAAACAATCCTGAAATAGTCCTCTCTGAGGACCCCAGAAGTAACTCAGCCTTATATGGACATTTTCTTGTCCCACTGTTAACTCAATTGGATGAAACTTTATCTGGATACTTTTCAGCCTGGCTATGGTTGTGAATGAGCCATTTCACATAAGGAAAGATCACACGGTGGCAGTGCGAAGTGTTTAAGTTGTAGACACAGTATGGGGAAAACCGTGTCTTTTTAACTGAAGAAAGGACACATTTCTCCAGTAGTGAGATCATTAAAGGGGAGTCTGGCCCCTTGATCCTTCTGGGATCTCAGGAGTGATAAATAACCTTTTAGACTTCTGCCAGAGAGACCAACCCACTGACTTCTCTTTTAGATTTATGGAAGGCTGCTGGCCCAGAGTTAAAGGTGCCTAGCTCTAGGAAGGATGGCAAGGTCCCCTGCTGCTCATTAATTTGTGATTATCTATTGCTAATGCATATAATGAATATATGTAAAATAGAAATCTGTTCTGATCTTCAAAAAAATCCTTCTTGAAATTGAAGGATCAATTGCAAAATGCAGGAGCCAGAGGAACTAGATTTGGCTTGGAATTGGGATGCCTCTTCAAGTCACCAAAATGCACGTATATTTTTATCGCTTGAAATTTAGCCCTGAAAATCTCACCATAGGATTTATTTCCAAAGAAGTCAAACTTGATTCTTTTTTAACGTGGGCACGTAATTAGCATCTACAATGCAATCTTTCTAGAAATAGAAGAAAATACTCTATGCTCAGGGGAACCGCTCAGCATGTATTTCATGATAAGGAAGCTAGATAATTTTATGTGAAATTCAATCCATTATTCCGAATTCATATACTAATCTTAAGTCTTGATTATAGACTTAAAAAATATCAAACAATTTAAAATATAGGAATAAATCCATGTGTAGAATTTCCCCAATTTACTAAGGACACAAGGTTGGAAACAGGTAAACTTGTGAAACTCTGATCAAGTCACAAGCACGGAGGTGGGGATGGGAGGAGGGATTAACATCATGTGAGAACAGAAAAGTTGGGAAAAGTCCAACCTTCCCTTGTTTGGCAGGCCAGAAATACCATGAGAACAGCTGTTTTCCTGGTGTTCTGGTTTCCACTGGCATTCATAACCAAATGTGCATGGAAATAAAAACCAGGGAGGAGAAAAACCCCCAGGCACAAAAGCCCTACAGTTTTCTGTCTTTGAGCTGAGATTTAGGTCAGCTTATCCATTTCTCACTCTTAAGCACATTTTCTCTGGCTGTCTCTGTCTCTCTCACTCACACACACACACACACACACACCCTCTCTCACATACACACATGTGCATGCACGCACACACATTCTCTCTCACACTCACTTATTAAAACTCCCCCCGCCCACACACACCAGTCACTTCCCATGGCACCCTCTAGGAAGCAGAAAAGGAAGGAATATTTTAGCATTAAAACAGAAACAAATATTATTCCTATCTTGTAGCATATTTTCTTACTTAAAAAAAAATCTTGCAGTATATTTTCTTACTTAAAAAAAAAGCAGGATAAATGTCTACAAAAACTTGTTAAAGGTTTTATCTGAAAAATTCCTTCCATTTGTTCAGCATTTAAATGAGAAGGAAAACCAGCTAACTTAGAACTATTCCCTCCCCACCCCACCTCCACCACCTTGTGGTCAAAAAAAAACAAACCCCAAAACCCCAAACAACAAAACAACAACAAAAAACCCAACAAACAAAACCATAAACAAAACAGGCTAGGGACAAAAAGGTTGCTGGGGTGGGGTTGGGGGTGGGGGGTGGGATCTGAAGAACACTGAGGCTTGGGAATGGCCAGTGTCACGGGTCCACACTCCTGTCCTGGGACCTGTGGCAGCTGTCCAGTCATTATCTTTTCTGCCCCTTCAACACCCTCTGCCATGTGCACTAAGGAGCTGCCTTACCTTCCCTTTCAGAGCGTTGGAAATGTACATGAGAATGGTTCTCGGAATCCTCATCACAGTGATTAAAAATGACCCTTTTATGGCTGTTCCTTGATGGTAGCAGAAAAGAATAGAGAGAGACCAAAGGTTTGGGCGATCAGGAGGGTCATTTTTATTTCTGGGAATAGGGGGGAAAAAGATAGCATTTAAAAAACACCATTTAAAACTTCTCTCTGGTTCAAATCATCAACGGTGCTAACATTTATAAAGCAGCAATGCAATTTGGCAAAGCTTTTATACTCATTGGTAGCTAAGGTTAAATTATTTCTTGGACTAACTCCTTTCATGGCATTCAATGCTACAGACAAACAGAACGGAAAATTAAAAAAAAGAAAACACTGAGGAATGAAAATAAACAAGCTTCCCTTTTTACCATGCCTCCTCCCCCCTCCCCCAATCCTGTAAGTTTTCTCTTAATCTCATTTTTACTTTCAGAAGTTTAATTATATAATCATTTCCAAGGTCTACATTACATATGTAAATATTGCCAGCATTAGCTTGGTGATTAAAATCACCACCAAATCAGGTGATCAGGAAGGGCAGCCACAGGGACACCAGTGAGCTCCAGCTTGATTAAAGGGACAGAAAGTTCTGGCTTCCACACAGCTCAAGTCTCCTAAAATCCAGCTGATTTCTACTCTGCTGTTTAAAGGTTACTTCAGTGTGAATCATTTGTGGAACGTGTCATGACACAGCAACCAAGAACGGGAAAGCCAGTTTCACGAGCAGGGGTGAAACAAAAAGTAAAAAAGAACAGAATGGGCATGGCCTTCACCCTACCCCAAACCTGCAAGATAAAAGAGAGGCAGGGCTGGTGCCACCCCTCCCCTGACCATCTCAATTCCCGTTGGTGCCAGTTCTAGAAAATGAGGCCCTTTCCAAGAAGCCACCTCACTGATTCCAAGTGAGGCTTGCTTACTTCATAATGGATTATTCTACAAACTCGCTCAGGTTGCTAATAAGTCACTATGAATTAAGGTTTTGACAAGAGCCTAGGTTCTGAGGGAGAAAAAAGGAATGCGGCCAGAAAGGTCTCAAGAGTTGGCAAAGGGCTGTATTCTGCTGTTACTGAAATCATCCGGAAGGAAAGGAGAACCCGAAAGTCCTATTGGGAGCGGAGTAACCATGATCCTGTGGCCCCACAAAAAGGGTGATGTGTGTTTCAATTCAGTATTATTGAAAATAGGAAATACCAGGGAAACTATTGCTGATATGAATTCATGTTGGTGTGATAAACTAGAAGAATAGTACCGGCCAGGAAAATCTGACATGGTTTTTCCCTTTTCTCAGCTTTTTTTTTTTTAAAGGAAGGAAGAATGTTTACTTTTCCATTTAGGAGATTTATGTGCCTTAGAACTTATTACAGTGCTCGAGAGGATGCAGGGGAAAGAGGACAGCACCTGCTTCCCATCTGGTAGGGAAACAAGTGACTCACAGGCCACGGCGAAGGGGGCTCTGGAGTCTGGTCCTCCAGGTTTTGAAGTCTGGGCTTGCGCCTCATCTTTCTGAGAAGGTTTTGCTGGGAGGGGATTAACCCGTGACACATCCTGGCTGTGACTCCAGCCTCTCCAGGGCTTGGGTGGAAGAAGATGCACTAGTTCCAGGAGCTGGCTTCTCACGTGACGAGAGAGAAAGTTAAAAAGAAGGCCCTTCCAACTCAGGCCAGCTCGTGGAGTCAGGAGTCGTTCAATACCCACCCCAGCCCCCCATTAGAAACCACCCTACAGAAAAGGGTTAAATGAGTGGAGTGTCTTTGAGGCCTCCACCTTCTCTTCTCAGACCTTTCTCTGTGGTCAGAGGTAACATCGTCCTGCCCTGCCTCCCCTGCTGTGTTTGTGGCCCGACCTTCATCTCTGTCTCCTTCACGAGCAGCAGAACCCGCCCTCAGGAAGAGGACCTGATTATATCCGACGAAGCTTAAAAGAATACTCCTCACTGGATTTCATCGTCTTTTGAGAACCAGCTTGCGGGATGGCAATGCAGCGCGGGGCGTGTGGGGCACCCCCGTGAGGAGCTGAGGAAGCTGGGGCCTCCCGTCAGGCCTGCCCTCTGTCCCTAGGGCTCACTGCGTGCGCAGCACCTTCCACCCTGCTTCTGTGGGGGTGGCATAAGGAAGACCTGGCTAGTGTGAGGCAGCAGGTGACCCTAGCCTGTGCTCCCCACAGCCTGGGCCCAGCTTCCCCCGCCTTTTAAACTTGCGGCTGTCCTGTGGGAGCCGGAGCCCCGGGACACCACAGCAACTCAAGGCGCTCGACAGAGGCTCTAACCGTCCCCTCCATCCGAGTCCTGTGGCGGCTTTGGGTCATGGCACACTAGGGCTGTGCGGTGACCACTCGTCCTGCGGACAACACGGCATCAGGCAGAGCAAGCAACTTCAGGGTCCTAGAGGCAAGGGTCACTCCAGTGAGATCTGGCCCAGTGCTGAGGACTCTTGAACAGTATTAGAAGTAGCTGTGTGCCGAGGCTCCTGGACAAGGACCAGCCTGAACGGGAGGGATGGTGTCCAGTGTAAATCCAGTCCCCAGCAAAGGGGCGCTGTGTGGTCCCTGAAGAGACTATCCTTTCCTGAGGTTTCTTCCAGCAACATCACAGTACGGTCCATCCTTCCAATCCTCCAGGAAAAGGAGATTGTCTTTATTATGAAGAACAGGATTCTGTAGCTGTCCTCAGCGACTCTCGTTAGGGTTATGAAATCCATCAGTGTCCTGCCTAAATCCCAAAAGCTCGGCTGTTCACCCATCTCCCTCACTGCCTTCTCAGCCAATCAAGAGCTGCTGGAAACCATCTTTGGAATATTTGAAAGCGATGATGAAGTCATGCCTCAAGTGCCCCTTCTCCAAGTTGAACGGTTCTAGTTCCTTCCTATCACCATCCCCAGCCACATCTTTATGGCTCTCTGTTGACCCCTCTTCAAGCGAATGGTTGTAAAAGAAATTTTACAGGTCGCCGTATCCTGGCACTTGATGGTCTCTGCATGAGCTCTTCAGCCCTCGTGATGCTTACGTGAATGACAAAGATGAACGCACGCTGGCGAATCTCCCCCCCACCCCGCCACCCGAGTGCAGGCCAGAACATGAGATATTGTCAACCTTGGGACGAGGGAAAATCTTAAGGTTTCAAAATTCAGCACCATGTAAAAAAGAAAGTGGAACTCCTTAATAAAGAAACAGTGCTCTAAGTTAGTTGACATGCATTTTATTTTTACCAAAGTAATATGTAAATATCTTAAGTCAAATAGCACGAGGCTAACCAGGAAAGGTAGCAGTTGGCTTTCCCCACTGCTCATTTTCTTTCCCTAGAGGTATGTTAGCTATTTCTTCTGTAACTCACCCCACACTTCCAAATTACCTGTTCTTTCTGCCATGTGTTTTTTTCAGCCTCTGATACTGTCTACTGGCTTCTCACTTTTTTTTTTTTAGAGGTGGGGGGCAGGGCAGAAGGAGAGGGAGAGAGAATCCCAAGCAGGCGCCACAAGCATCGTGGAGCCCGATGTGGGGCCGCATCTCACAACCCTGAGATCATGACCTGAGCCAAAACCAAGAGTCAGATGCTCAACTGACTGAGCCATTCACCCAGGCACCCCTGACTTCTCATTTGAAACATGTCTGTTGATTGTCTTATACAACCTAAACATTTTCCCATTCTCTCCTTCTTCTCAATATAATTATATTGAACTTTTTAGAGTTTTTTCCCAGTTTTATTGAGATATAATTGACAAAAGAAATTGTGTAAGTTTAAGGTGTACGATGTGTTGATCTGATACTTACATATTGCAGATGATGACCACCACAGCAGTAGCTAACAATGTTGTATAATTACATTTCTTTATTGTGGTAAGAGCATTTAAGTTCTACTCTCTCAGCAATTGTCAAGTATATGATACAGTCTTATTAACCATAATCACCATGCTGGACATTAGATCCCTAGAACTCATTCATCCTAACTTGAAGCTCATACCCTTTAACCAACATCTGCCCGTTTCCCCCAACTGCGTCCTCAAGCCCTGGTAGTCACCACTCTACTGTTGCTAAGTTTCTATTGTTTTGGCTTTTTTACGTTTTGCATATAAGTGAGATCATACAGTATTTATCTTTCTCTGACTTATTTCACTTAGCAACAGCCCTCAAGGTCCATCTACATTTTCCTCTTTCTCATGGCTGACAAAAATTCCAGTGTGTGTGTGTGTGTGTGTGTGTGTGTACCACATCTTCTTTATTTAGTCATCTGTTGATATTTGATTAACATTTGGGTTGTTTCTATAGCTTAGCATTGTGAATAATGTTGCAATAAACATGGGAGTGCAAATATCTCTTTGAGATCCTATTTTCATTTCCTTTGGATATATACCTAGAAGTGGGATTGCTGGGTCATAGGGTAGTTCTATTTTTAATTTTTTGAGGAAGCTCCATACTGTTTTCCATAGTGGCTGCAACAGTTTGCATTCCCACCTACAGTGCACAGGGGTTCCCTTTTCTCCATATCCTTGCCAAAACTTGTTATCTCTTGTCTTTTGATGACATCCATTCTAACAGGTGTGAGATGATATCTCCTTGTGGTTTTGATTTGCATTTTCCTGATGATGAGTGATGTTGAATACCTGTTCATGTACCTGTTGGTCATTTGTATGTCTTCTTTGGAAAGATATCTATTTAGTTCCTCTGCCTGTGTTTTAACTGGATTTTTTCTTAAGAGGTGACCTTTATTTTATTTATGTATTTATGTATTTATTTATTAAATCTGTGCATTTCTTTTTTTAAAAAAAGATTTTATTTATTTTAGGGAGAGAGAAAGTGTGCTCGTGCAAGTGGGGGAAGGGACAGAGGGAGAGAGTGAGAGGCAGAAAATCTCAAGCAGACTCCATGCTGAGTAAGGAGCCTGACCCTGGACTCCATATCAGCCTGAGATTGTGACCTGAGCTGAAACCAAGAGTCAGACACTTAACTGACTGTGCCGCCTAGGCACCCCTTTATTTATTTTCTTTTTTAAAGATTTTATTTATTTGTTTGAGAAAGAGAGAGAAAGGGAAAAGGAGAGAGAGCGAGAGAGAGAGAGAGTGAGCATGAGTGGGGGTAGGGCCAGAAGAACAAGCAGGCTCCTCACTGAGCAGGGAGCCCGATGTGGGACTCAGCCCCAGGACCCTGAGATCATGACCTGAGCCGAAGTCAGATGCTTAACTGACTGAGCCACCCAGGTGCCCCTATTTATTTATTTTTTTAGAGGGAGAGAAAAAGACAGCATACATGAGTGGGATATGGGGGGAAGGGGCAGTAGGAGAGGTTGAGAAAGAGAATCTTAAGCAGGCTCCACAAGTGTGGAGCCCGATGTTGGGCTTGATCTCATGACCCTGGGATCATGACCTAAGCCAAAATCAAGAGTCATACACTTAACCAACTGAGCCACCCAACTGGATTATATGAGTTCTTTATATATTTTGGATATTAACTTCTTATGATATATATGATGTGCAAATATTTTTTTCCATTTCATAGGCTGCCTTTCATTTTGTTGTTTTTTACTATGCAGAGGAGCTGAACAATCTATATCTTGAAAACTACAAGACTTTGATGAAAGAAACCAAAGAAGACACAAACAAATAGAAAGATATTTCGTGTTCAAGGATCGGAAGAACTCATATTGTCAAAATATCCATACTATCCAAAGCCATATATAGATTCAATGCATTGCCTGTCAAAATTCCAATGACATTTTTCACAGAAAAAGAAAAGGCAGTTCTAAAATTTGTGTGGTATTACAAAAGATCCTAAATAGCCAAAGCAGTCATGAGAAAGAAGAACAAACCTGGAGGCATCACACTAATTTCAAAGTATGCTACAAAGCTATAGTAATCAAAACAGTGTGGCACTGGCCTAAAAATGACACATAGATCAGTGGAACAGAATCAAGGGCCCAGAAAGGGAAAGGGATAGTCCCTTTAATAAATGGTGTTGGGAAAACTGGATAACTACATAGAGAAGAATGAAATTACACCCCTATCTTACACTACTCACAAAAATTAATTTGAAATAGTTTAAAGACTTTACCATAGGAACCAAAACCATAAAACTAAAGACAACATAGGGAAAAAGCTCCTTGACATTGGCCTTGGCAATAATTTTTTGAATATGACACAAAAACACAGCCACAAAAGCAAAAATTAGTAAGTGAGACTACATCAAACTAAAAAGCTCTGCACAGTAAAAAAAACAACAAAATGAAAGGCAATCTATGAAATGGAAAAATTTAATCCTAAGTATTTTATTGATTCTTGAGGCTATTGTGAATGGGATGGTTTTATTTTTCAGATATTTTGTTGTTATAGAAATGCAACTGTTTTCGTTATGTTGATTTTGTATCCTGCAACTTTACTGAATCCATTGATTAGTTCTAACAGTTTTCAGTGGAGTTTTTTTTTTTTAAAGATTTTATTTATTTATTTGAGAATGAGAGAGAGAGAGAGCACATGAGAGGGGGGAGGGTCAGAGGGAGAAGCAGACTCCCTGCCGAGCAGGGAGCCCGATGCGGGACTCGATCCAGGGACTCCAGGATCATGACCTGAGCCGAAGGCAGTTGCTTAACCAACTGAGCCACCCAGGCGCCCTTTCAGTGGAGTTTTTAGGCTTTTTCTATATATAAGATCATATCATCTACAAACAAAGACAATTTTACTTCTTCCTCTCTGGATACCTTTTATTTCTTTTTCTTGCTCTGGCTAGGACTTCCAGTACTACATTGAATAGGAGTGGTGAGAGCAGGCACTCTTGTCTTGCTCTTGATCTTAGAGGAAAAACTTTCAACCTTTTACCATTGAGTATGTTTTAATCAATGTTTAGTGTTTACATTATCTGTACATAAATAACATTCACAACTGATCTAAGTAGTGTATTCTTTTTTAAAAATTATGTATTTATTTTTGTTGAAGTATAAACCAAGTAGTGTATTCTGATTATAGTTTCTTTCCTATACAACTTTTGGTTTTCCTGAAGTTAATAATTGTTTCACATTTTTTATTTGCTTGGTTTCCCATAGGCTTTACCAAATGCTTCACCGAAGTATAAATCTTTTCTCTACTTGTTCAAACACATCTGGTATTCTCTTAGTTTCCTTTTTTTTTTTTTTTTTTTCCCTTGGACACATGCCTCTGGGAGCCCACTGCTCTCCTGCTCCTCTTTGGACTGGATATTTTTTATACCTGCTTCATAGCTACCCTTCTGGGAATTCCCTATTCTTTACTGTGTTGGAGCCCATTTCCTGAAACTTCTATTTTCCTCCCTGGCTTACTCATTCATTTCAGAGGAGAACACCCTTCCTAAGAAAGGAGATGGGGAGCAAAATCTCTTGGGATGTTCCAGTCCTGAACATGACTTAATTTCCCTTACCCTTGACTGACAGCATGAATAGGTATAGATTTCTAGTTTTGAAAATAATCTCTCATTAGAATTTTGACAAGTTTGCTTCATTGTCTTCCTGGTTCAGAGTTGCTATTGAACATCAGACCCCACTCTACTTCTTGATCCTTTGCCTGTGATCTATTTTTCCCTTCAGAAGCTTCTGGGATCTTCCCTTTACTCATGTCCTCTAACTCTGGGAAATTTTCTTTGATAACTTCCTCCTTTCTCTTTCCTTTGTTCTCTATTTCTGGAACTTGTATTAGTCAGATGTTGAGTATCCAAAATGTATCCTCTAACTTTTTATCCTTCCTTTATTTTCCATCTTTCTGTCTTTTTGCTCTGTCTTCTGGAACAATTCTTTAATTTTATATTTTAATCCTCCAGGAGAAAAATTTCACTTTTGCAATCATATTTTTAATGACTAAGAGGTCTTTCATTCTTCTTCTTCTTTTTTTTTTTTTGGTACTTATTTTATGGATGCACTATTTCTTTGTTCTTTCTGAGGATATTATAGGTTTTTATATATTTTTTTTTATAGTTTTCTTCTGCTGCCTGCGTTGTCTCTATTTTCCCTAAATTCCCTTTGTTTTGTTCATTTTGATCTTTTTCTTTCACTAGAGGTTTTCTGTGAATGTTGAATCATCACTGGCTACCAATTCAATTTAAGACTGAGGAACTACAGAGTGAACTGACAGCTCTGTATGAGGTGACAGTTTCCTGGTAAGTTCCACTGTCTGGTTCAGTCAGGGAATCATTTCACTGGAGGACCCCTCCCCGACCATATAGCATTATCTGTAGGTCTTTACTTTGGATTGGTAAGTTCTCCAAAGAAGAATCCTCTAATCTCTCGTCAGGGGATATCAACGTAGTTGATATCCTAGGAGCTGAGCCATGGAATGCCCATTGGTGGTGGCAAAAGGGGTCCTCACTATGCAGCTTTTAGGCTTTTACTTATCTCCCCTTCTTTCAATAGAGTCTTACGCCCAGCCGCAGCTGTGCCAGATACGCCAGGTCCAGACCCTCTCTGGTTTACCCCTCCAGAAAGCAAAGCTCCTATATCCTGCTGGTTTGGAGGAGAGGCCCTGGAGCCTAAGTGTTCCTTAGGAAGATTTATAACTAACCTTCAAAAGTACATTTTACACTTGAATTCCTGGGCCCCCTAGGTTTTTGTGGCTCACACCAGCCCATCTTATTTTCACCTCCTCTCCCAGCCAACACACACAGACGGGCCTTTTTAGGTTTGTCTAGTCAGCTCAGTCGCTACTCATCCATCCTCTCTTCAGCTTTCAACATTTGGTTGACGTTTCTTTTCCCTGTCATTTCCTATTGTCTCTGTACGTTTATGCCTTTTTCATTCTTTCATGGTTTGGGGTGAGGGGAGTTGGAGTAGGAGGAGGGGTTAGAGATACAGATATATGCTTCACCGGAAGTCCAAACGAAAAGCCCCCATTGAAAATGCTTTGGTTTTGTGATTCTAAGGTAACACAAAATCACTACTGTCAGACAGCTGTTACCTGCTAGCCAACATGGTTAGAATAATCTTTGATCCTGTACTCAGGAGCAAGCAGCTCATGCCACCCACCTCCAGGGGCTCAGAGGTCCTCAAGGCCAAGGGCTACAAGCCCTGTGTGCATCCCACAGAGTCTCTAATGATGAAGGCTCCCAAACAGCACCCCTGTATTAAAACCCACAGTGCTCCTTATTGTCGGGAGGTAATTGCTCATCGGGATGAATCATCCCTGGTTGACTTTCTTACCCCCACAAATATTCATGCTTATCTGCTCATTTGGTCTGAGAGATTAGAGGAGGCTCAGCCCTATAGGGAATAAACTTCCTGTCCTCAGTCCAACCCTGTCATTGTCCTGGCCTGCTCTGCTTGCCTGTGGTTTTATCTTTGCCCCATGGAGACTCACACACACAAACGAGGTAAAAAGTTCCGGGGGGGGGGTGTGTGTGTGTGTCCTCAATTATTTTGATGAGGTAATGGGGTGAAAACACTTAAATAAGTATCACGGTGAACAAAGAAGCAAGTAATTAATTCACTAGTATTTAAGTAGATGAACACGAACTGTATTTTATAGTTATATACAATTTCCTTAGGGTTTAAAATTATTTTCCAAGAAAACACTGTCCTCATTTTTTACAGAAGTCAACCTTTCCTTTCAGACATCTTTCAATTCTAAGCAGTTGGATTATGTCCCTGTTTTGCTTCCCTCTGAATTTTCTAGCTTAAGGTGAAAGAGCTTGGAAATGTGACACATTTAAGGTATAACATTTCTTTTCACTACCAAATGAGCATCCTGCTCCAATTTTGACCTTAGTCTTTGACTCCTGCCAACCCCTTTTTAAAACTCCAAAGTATCGGGGCGCCTAGGTGGCTCAGTCGTTAAGCGTCTGCCTTCGGCTCAGGTCATGATCCCAGGGTCCTGGGATCGAGTCCCGCATCGGGCTCCCTGCTCTGCAGGAAGCCTGCTTCTCCCTCTTCCACTCCCTCTGCTTCTGTTCCCTCTCTGGCTGTGTCTCTCTCTGTCAAATAAATAAATAAAATCTTTAAAAAAATAAAAAAATAAAACTCCAAAGTATCTTTTGTGATACCGGACGTGAAGCACGTAGACAAATCAAGAGCAGTAATCCTACCTGTTGGAAGTAGGGTAGCAGTAGACCTACCTGTTGAAATAGCAAGTGACCAGTGCCCCGGCTACCGTCATTTGCTGGCACGCGAGGATGAATTCGCTGGTCCAGATGAGGCCAATTAAATGGTACCACCACATGTACCGAATGCCTACGAGCGGCTGATATTCCACTTGGCCACCTTCAATAACCCGTGCAGCTCCTAAAGTTTAAAACACAAATATGCTTTACACCAATGTTTTCCAAAGCATGGAAAGATGATTCAACAGGCCACACTTGCACGTGGCTGGCTGTTGGCATTAGGTAGATGCACAGATGCCAAAGTAAAGTTGGTAGCATCCACCCTCATTTGAGATCTTCATAGCACACACTGAAAAATGAGAACACACATTTAACTTATGAGTAATATCAATAACAATATTCATAATGACTGATGGGTAGGCAATTTGCAAGACACTTGACCTATATACTCTAATGCTCATCCCACTTTGTAGATATGAAAATTGAGGTTTGGAAGAGTCAGGGAACTTCCATAAAGTCTCACTGCTCATGATTAGTGGAAGGAGACTATAAACCCTGACACACTGGATTCTAACATCCATGGTTTTTCTACCACACCACTTTGTGATACAAACAAAACTCGTTATTAGGACTACAGGCATTAGGACTATATTTTAGAACACTGCTTCACCAAAAATTTAGAGTTTATAAATGAGACAAGGATCTCCATTTTTTTCAAAGGGATTCATTTCATATTTTTTTTTAAAGATTTTTTATTATTATTTAT